ACTCTCCCCCTCCGAAAATTCCCACCATTGACCCCCACAGTACCCCCTAAAATCCCTTCAGATCCCCTAAATCCCTTCCAGCTCTCCCAAATCCCTTCTGACTCCCCCAAAATGCCCCCCAAGCCCCCTCCAGACCTCCTCTGACCTCCCCAAATCCTCCCCAAGTTCCCCGCAGCCCTGCTAACCTCCTCCCAGTGTCCCCCCAAATCAATTCTAACCCACTGAGCCCCTTCAGGCCTCCTGAAACCCCCTCCAGCTCCTCCCAACCCCTTCACCAGTGTCCCCTCCCAGCCCCCCAAAACTCCTTCAGAACCTCCAACCCCCCTCAGCCCAGGAATCCCCGGAGAGGGCTGTGGGTGGATCTGGGGGCCCGTGGGAGAAGTGTGAGTATTTTTGGAGTCCCCCTGACCCTCCTTGACCCCCCCCCTCTCCAGGATGGGGGCCACTGTCTTCGTGCAGCCCCTGGACCTGGTGAAGAACCGGATGCAGCTGAGCGGGGCCGGGGCAAAGGGGCGTGAGTACCGCACGTCCCTGCACGCCCTGGGCTCCATCCTGCGCCACGAGGGGCTGCGGGGTGTCTACACGGGGTACGGGTCCCCCAAAACCCTTCTGAACCCCCAAACCCCCGGGGACTTCCCCAAACCCCGTGTCCCTTCACGCCCTGGGGTTCATCCTCTGCCATGAGGGGCTGCGGGGTGTCTGCAAGGGGCACAGAACCCCCAAAACGCTCTGCCACCCCCCAAAGCCTCTGGGCCCTCCCCAGACCCCATGTCCCCACATTCCCCGGGGTCCATCCTATGCCACGAGGGGCTTCGGGATGTCTACACAAGGTATGGGCCCCCCAAAACCCTCTGAGCTCCCCTAACACCCCCAAACCTCCCCAAAACTTGCCTGCAAGCCTTGGGCTCTTCCCTGCCCCCCCTGTCCGGGCTTCTCCGTTCTCGGGGTGCCCTATTTTTGGGGTGTGCTCCCCCAGGCTGTCAGCAGGGCTCCTGCGCCAGGCCACCTACACCACCACCCGCCTGGGGATCTACAGCGTCCTGCTCGAGCGTTTCGGGGGCCCCGATGGGACCCCCCCTCCGTTCCTGGCCAAGGCCGCCATGGGAATGACAGCCGGGGCTGCGGGGGCCTTCGTGGGGACCCCTGCCGAGGTCGCTCTGATCCGCATGACAGCTGATGGCAGGTGAGGCTCCCCCCCAAAATTTTCCCCCGGGCCTCCAAATTCAATTTTTTTACCAAAATCCCCTTTTTTCGCCCCAAATCACAGGCTGCCCCCTGGCGAGCGCCGCGGGTATCGCAACGTGTTTGATGCCCTCGTGAGGATGGCGAGGGAGGAGGGGGTTCTCACGCTGTGGAGGGTATGGAGGGGCCTGGGGGACCCCAAAATCCATCCCCCCCTCCCTAAAGCTCCCCTCGTCCTCTCCATGATCCCAAATGCTCTGAGACCTCCTCCCCATCACCCTGGGACCCTCCCCCGGGGGTGCACGGAGGGGTGGGGGGGATGTTCTCATGGTTTGGAGGGGTTTGGGAGTGCAGGGGGTCCCCCGAAACCCCCCGTCTCCCCCTAGGGCTGTGTCCTCACTGTGGTAAGGGAGGAAGGCATGCAGGTGGGATGTCTGAAGGTGCAGGGGGAGATGGGGGGGGGCCTGGGGGTGCAGGGGGCTTCCCCAACCCCCTCTATCTCTCCCCAGGGCTGTATCCCCACCATGGCCCGCGCCGTGGTCGTCAATGCTGCCCAACTTGCCTCCTACTCCCAATCCAAGCAATTCCTGCTCGACTCCGGTGAGTTTGAGGTTCGGCCCTGGGGGTCCCCCCAAATCCTGGCACACCCTCCCCTGTCCCCCTTTGATGTTTTGGGGTCGCCCCAGGGCATTTCCGTGACGACATCCTGTGCCACTTCTGCGCCAGCATGATCAGCGGGCTGGTGACCACGGCCGCCTCCATGCCGGTCGACATCGTCAAGACCCGGTGGGTTCATTTGGGGGATCCCCCACCCTCCCCTGTCAAGTAATTATGGATTTGGGGGTCATCCCCCAACCTCTCCTATTTCACCCAAAAAATTCTGACAGGATCCAGAACATGCGGACTATCGATGGGAAACCCGAGTACCGCAACGGGCTGGTGAGCGAGCGGGGCTTTGGGAGGGCCTCAGCGTGTGGGGGTGGCCCCCATCATTTTGGGGGGGATTTTCTGTCATTTTGGGCATGGTTCCTGTCATTTTGCAGGGGTTCCTTTTCAACTGGGGGGGGTTCCCCACTGTTTTGGGGGCATTTCCTGTCATTGATGGGGCAGTTCAGGTCCTTTTTGAGGAGGTCCCCATCATTTTGGGGAGTTCCCTTGCCATTTTGAGGGGAGTCTCCATCATTTTGGGAAGGTTCCCCATCACCTGGGAGATGAGGGGTTCATGTCATAATTTTGTGGGTGGGGTTCCCTCCCCGCAGGACGTGCTGGTGAAGGTGGTGCGGTACGAGGGGTTCTTCAGCCTCTGGAAGGGCTTCACCCCCTACTACGCCCGCCTGGGCCCCCACACCGTGCTCACCTTCATCTTCCTCGAGCAGATGAACAAGTGGTACCAGCGACTCTTCCTCAGTGCCTGACCCCCACTCTGGGGGGGGAGGTCAGGGGGATTTGATCCCACTCTGGGGGCTCTATAGGGGCATCTGACCCCCCCGCAGAGGAGTCTGGGGGAGGGTCTGATGTCCCCCTCGAGGGCAGTGGGGGTGCCTGACCCCCAAGGGGTGGAAGGGGGGCTCTGTAGGGATGCCTGTCCCCCCCCCCCCCCATCAAGGCTATGAAGTAGCCCTGGGGCCCTATGGAGGGGTCTTAGGCCCTACTGGGGTGCATGACACCCTCCCCAGGGCTGTACAGACCCCAGGGGCCCTATGGAGTGGTCCTGGGCTCTATAGGGGTGCTTGATGCCCAACATGGGGACAACAGGGGGGTTCCTGGGGGGTGTCTCGTCCCAAAGGGACAGCCCTAGACTTCCTATGGAAAACGTAGGGTGTCCTATAGGGGCCCCCCCTCCTCCATGTGCCCCCTTCCCACACCCCCTGGGGGTTTTGTTACCAGCCAACATCAAGATCACACTGTGGGGCAGGAGCCCCCCAAAGCCCCCCCAACCCCTTCCCCGTGCTTTGTTAATGAATCATGAATCGTGATCATGTAATTAAAGCAAAACCCCACAATGATGGGGGTGTGGTTTATGTCTGTCACACCAGGGGCAGGGCCATGCGGGAGGCGCGTGGCTCACGTCCCACCCCGCGGGTCTGGCCGCGGCCCCCTGAGGGGTGACAGGAGGGGACCCCCACGAACACACAGAAGAGGCAGCGGGTCCGCGGAGCCATTTGATTTGTCCTCCCCCACCTCGTTCAGGGGTCCCGGGGGGCCCCTCTCTCAGGCGGGGGGGCCACCGTCACCCCAGGGCAGGTCGGGGCCAGCCAGGACGGTCCGTTCCACCCCCTCCTCGGTGATGGCCGCCAGCCGGATCACCCCCCCGCTGGAGCCGTCCCGCACCATCGCCAAGGCCAGTGCTGGGAGACACAGGTTAGGGACCCCCAGAGTCCCTCAGGGACCCCCAAACCGCCTCCCAGGACCCCCACAAATTCAGTGCCCCCCAAATCCCTGCCAAGGGCTCCCCAAATTGCCTCCCAGCACCCTCCCCAAACCCCACAGTGTCCCTCCCAAACCTCCTCCCAGGACCCCCTCACACCCTTACACATTCCCCAAGTCCCAGGACTCCCCCAAACTCCTCTGTGCTTCTCAAAATGCCTCCCAGGACCCTCCCAAGCCCTGCCCACCCGCACCCCCCACCCCGAGTCCCCCAAACCCACCACGGGCGACGAACTCCTGGCACTGGGAGCGGCTCATCCCAGGCTGGAATGTGGCATCCAGGTATCCGTAGATATAGGAGCTGCCCGAGCCCCCCACGGCGAAGGGCTGGCGCAGGAGAAGCCCCCCCAGCGGCACCACGTACACCTGGGTGGTACAGGGGGGGCTGTAAGGCACTGTGGGGCAGAAGGGTGCAGGCAGAGCCCTCCCAATGGGCACCACATACACCTGGGGGGGCACAGCGGGGGCTGTAGGGCACTATGGGGTAGAGAGCAGGGGCTGTGGGGCAGGAGGGTGCAGGCAGAGCCTGGGGCTGAGGAGGGGGCTATGGGATAGAAGGGGGGGTACTGTGGGGCAGAGAAGGGGATGCCAGGAGGCAGAAGACGACATAGGGCAGGAGCAAGACACTCCAGGAGAGAAAAGGGGGGAACACCGTGGGCCAGAAGGACCCTCACCTGTCCACCCCGGCGCGGGTCCCAGCCGGCCACGATGATGCCGGCGCTGAGCTCCTCGCGGTAGCGGTAGCAGCTCTGCTGGAACAGGCGCGCGGCCGTGCGCACCCGCGGCGGCTCCTCCAGCTCCACGCTGCGGGGCAGGGACGGCCGTGGGGCTGGGGGTCGGCCTGGGGGCCCTCCCCGCGCCCCAGCCCTGCCCCACAGCAGGGGTACCTGTGGAAGGCCAGCTGGTAGGCCACGGCGTCGGCCACCGCCTGCGTGTCAGCCGCCGAGCCCGAGCGGCAGCAGAAGATGCGGTCGTGGACCGGGGTCAGCTTGTCCGTCACACGGTTGGCCACGTAGGACCTGGGGGACACGGACAGTCCGAGGTGATCCCTCAGGGACACAACACGCCGGAGGTGCTGGGACAGCCCTGGAAAGGAGCCGTTGGCCCCAAAAAGCTGCCAGAGCCCCCTGGCACCCCTGGAGCTGTCACCGCTTCAGGCAAAGAGGAATTTCGTTGGACCCAAAATACCAGGTTTTGCAAAGAGGGGAGTTAAAAAATGTGGAATTTGCTGTGCTAATAAGCTGATTTTTACCACCACCGCTGGGGAACAGTTCTGTGGGATTCGCAAACTCCCCCTGAAAGAGGAAAAAGGATTTGGCCAAAAATAGAGAGGAAGTGTAAAACCAAGGATAACCCCAGGGAAATGCTGGGATTTTACAGGATTACCAAGATGGAATCAATAAAAATAATTCAGGATTTGTTCAAAGAAATAATACCCAAATTTGGGGCACTGGAAGGAATTTTTCTGTACAAATTATAGCAGAAATAGTGCAGAAAGCATCCAAGGTTTTACAGATAAATCAGGCATTACGTGATGTGGGAGGAGGCAAGAAATCCTTTGGATTGTGGGATTTTAATATGGGATTTAAATCTGATTTTTACCGCTACATTGGGGAACAGTACTATGGGATTCGAAATCTCCCCCAAAGGAGGAAAAAGGATTTGGCCAAGGAAAATGGGATCTGTGGTGAGAAATCCAAAGACTGGGACCAGGAGCACAATCTTTAACCTGAGGATGTTTTTTAAGGAATTACTGCACAAAAATAAAGGATTCTTGGATGAATTTGGCGATGAAAAATGCCTGTCAGGTGCAACACTGATACCTGGGGCCACACGGGGCCACGGCCACAGCTTCGGGGGTGGCATCACAGTGACATCATGACAAGGGGTCATGGGTGACAACCCCGTGACAGGGCCCAGCCCTGGTGATGTCACTGATGATGTCACATCACCGTCCTCACCCGGTGGTGGTGCGGGAGTCGGCCCCGATGACGACGCCTCCGTCGAACTCCACAGCCATGATGGTGGTCTGGGGGGAGGGGGGGAGAGGAGGGGGGGGCTGCACTGGGGGTCCCTGTGCCACAGCAGCCCCCTCCCCACCGAATCCCCCTGTGCCACAGAGCCCCCTCCCCTCACCCCCTCCTCCCCACAGCAGCCCCTGTCCCACAGACCGCCCCTCCCCACAGCAGCCCCTGTCCCACAGAACCCCCCCTCCCCACAGCAGCCCCTGTCCTACAGAACCCCCCCTCCCCACAGCAGCCCCTGCCCCACAGAACCCCCCCTCCCCACAGCAGCCTCTGTCCCACAGACCCCCCTGTTCCACAGCAGCCCTTGCCTCACAGAATCCCCCTTGCCCCACAGCACGCCCCTGTCCACAGCAGCCCCTGCCCCACATAACACCCCTTCCTACAGCAGCCCCCCCATTCCCCACAGAATCCCCCGGCGGGGTCCCTCTGACACATATCCCCCTTCCAGCCCCTACGGGGAACTCCCCACTCCCCGGGCCCTCTCTCCAGCCCCACTTTGGGGTCCCTTGTGCCCCATACCCATCACCAGCCTCCACGAGGGCTCTCGCTGCCCTCCCCCACCCCAATCCCCTCCCCAGCCCGGCACTGGGGACCCTCCGTCCCACAGCCCGCCCCCTGCCCACGGCGGGCCCTCCTTCCCCGTAACCCCCCAAGCCCATCGCACGCCCCCAGCCCCGCGAGCGGGTCCCCCCGCGGCTCCCGGCGCACTCACGCCGGTGCTGACGGGCTCCGCCGTCCAGTCCCGATGCAGCCCCGCGGGGCCCGGCCCGGCTCGGGGCTCCCGCACCGTCACCGCCGCCATCTTCCGCACGCTTTACGGCAGCGTGGCCGGCACGACGTGGACGCTGCGACGCTTTACGGCAGCGCCCAAAAATGCCTGAAAATTCATTGTGGGGGTGTGCAAAAAATATTAAAAACTAACGTTTCTCATTTTTCTGTATATTGAAAAATAATCCTAGTTAATATATAAATTACTTTCAACTGTATTATATATAGGATCTTGGAGTATAAGAAATTCTGAATATAGATATATAGGGTTGGAAAATACAAATAAACTTTTTATAAATATAAATTAAACAATACTTTGAAAACACAATAACTACGCCTAAGAAGCAACTGCAACAATAAACATATACAATACTATACGGTGCAGTCCAGAAGTCATTGGGTGGGGACTCCCTGTGGCTCTATACACCCAAGCAGGGCAGCTCCAAGACAATCCTGCTCAGAGACTGTACACCCATCAGCTCGACTGTCTAAGGTAACTGACATGTTGACGTGAGACTCTGAGCAATATTCTATCTACCCACTGATCCACGGAGCAGGGCAGAGCAGTTCCAGCCTGACCCCAAGTGAGACACCCCACACCTGTGACGACACACACCATGTGACACAATTAAGAGAAGAAGGACACAAAACACGGAGGAGGCAAAGGACATGACACAGACTGAAACTGCTCTGCCCTGCACAAGTGAATCCAATGATACAAAGTAAGCCCTTCCTTCCATGTGTCCAAATACCCTGTTACAGGACACCCATTGCACTGTACTAATTTCAAAAATCCCTCCAGGTGAGGTACACACATGCACCGACTCCCAACCCCTCTCTGGGTCTTTGCCCTGCACTTATCTTGCCAAGAGCCGGGGACGTGAATCCATCTTTGATGCAGAGGAGGGGCACCTGGGCTGGCTCAGAGGTTCCTGTCATCATGAGAGCACTCGGAGTCAACTGTGAGAAAGAAAACCAGACACGAGATCTGAGTAGTGTGGCACGTGACCGCAGCCCCCATGATCCCTCTACTCACCGTCACCGAGGCAGGTCCTCGGGTCGCTGGCTCTGACCAGAGGCACACACTGTGGCTGTCATCTTCCAGGATACCTGAGCAAGAGAGAGATAAAATTAGAGGGCATGTCTGAAGCTCCAATGGATCCCCGCTCCTCCTG